TTCTTTTTTTTTTCTCTTATGCTTGGATTGTTGGACACAAAGTTATTTGGATTGAAATCTTGCAACTCTTAATCCGATTGTAAGTTTTTCAATTCTATTTTATTATTGTTGATTGGTTTTATGTTCTTAATTCCGGTTAACATGAAATTGAATCTAAGCATGAGGTAATCCATTCACCTAGGGTTAGGGATTTTGATTCTTGTTTTGAATTATGAGGAATGTGTTTTGTTCAATCTATACGAGTTGTGTGAATTATATGGTTAGTTGATTGATCACCATTCTAACCTAGTTAATCGACGTTTAGAACCGAGAGGGGAGACGTCGGTCGATTTAGGCTCGTATAGAGTAGACATGTTCGTAAAAGTATTGTCTATGTGTTGCCTGTTTGAATGAATTTATCGTTTATGTTTGTGCTCTTGTTACGAAGAGTTATTGAGCATAGCCCTCTAGACGTGTAGGCTCGTTTAATCTCGTAACCGAACAAATAAGCGTTCAACATAGTTTAAGACTTGATAAGATTTCCCGACCCCTAGAACTTCTTCTTTTTCTCTAGAAATTTAATTGCTATTTCTTTAAATTGCTTTTCTAGTTCTAGCTTGTTTTAGTTGATTCCCCAAATCAATCGTGATTAGAGTGTTTAGGACTTATTTTCTTTTCTTGTGTGATCAAGACCAACGCTAAATTCCGAACCGTCTTCCTCGAGAGATCGACCCGAGGAATGAATCCTTCGATTCGGTACTCGGTAAAAAAATAAAATAATTTGCTACAACAGATTGTACACTCCACAAGTATGTACTAGATTGCAGTTCCGAATGACAAACAACTGATCACCTTTGTATAATGATAGATATATTTTCCATTGACAATTCGAATAGCTACAACAAACAATGACTTTTGCTTATCATTTTTCCGATACTTAAAAGACCGCCTATTTGCAATCGCGTAGTTTTTAACACGCTTTCGAAATTCATTGGCCCCACTAAATATCTGCCCCTCTCCTTTGACGTAAAATCTCCAAAAATCGATCAATTATCTTGCAACAACAACTCAGATTCTCCCACCGAGAAATCATCATACGGTACGATTTTCGTGCGTTCATGGCAAAATAATACAAAGATTTATAAATAGTGAAATTAGTTAAAAAATTAATAAATTAGGCTATGATACGATTATACCATATTTCAATAATAAATTCATTAATATTAAGAAAGCAGCATTACCTGCTCATGTTTATCGGATGAATTGAACTCCATCATCCAGTCTTTCATTTCTTTCAATGGCAAGTATCTGTGCAATATTTACTTTCCAACAAACATGTAACTGAATCATGTTTTTCACATCCTCATCACCTGACAAACTAACTCTTTTTTTTTTTTTCCTTTAACGCAATATAGCATAGCATGACAGATTTAAAATTAACATTCGGCCACCTCTTAACAATGAGAGTGTACACTTCGTCAAGCGTTGATCCAAGGTGCATAGAGAACATAAACAATTGATTTTTTTAAGTACAACTCCCTAATATATCACTTTGTGCCCCTTCCATGTATCTAACAATAATCGGATAAAACAAAACACCTTCACATTTCCATCACTGGTATGGCTATCAAAATTGTGAGCATCAGCATGTAGGTTCCAGACCTTAGCAAAGTCTACAACAGGCAGGCTTATACCATTACGCCCTTTTGTTTGCACCCTTTTGTTTGCAGTAAAAGCTTATCCAGTTGTAGTTCTTCGCCCTGGGAGCGAGTTCGAGCTTTCTCATTAGGTCATGGTCTGTTTTCAGCTTATTCTCGAGTTTCAAAATTTTTGTGCTGCTGTACATCTCAATGTAATCGATCCAACGAACGAAAGAAGAAGATTCCATAACCATTACATTCTACTATTTGACCTTCTGGACTGAATCCCGACCACTCGAAGACTGATGGTCGAACTGGCATTTTTGGGGGTAAAAGAGCTGGGTCTAGTTTGAGCTATCCGGACGGACTCTCCCATCCAGACACACAAGAAGGGTATGTTCGAGCTGGGTCTAGTTCGAGCTATCCGGACGGACTCTCCCATCGAGCTGGGTCTAGTTCGAGCTATCCAGTAAAAGCGTATGTTGCGTTGGTTTTGCGGGCACACAAGAAGGGATAGAATCCGAAATGGGGATATTCGAGATAGGGTCGGGGTGGCTCCAATTGAGGAGAAATTGGTTCAACATTGGCTGAGGTGGTTCGGACATGTCCAACTGAGGCCTCCTGATGCACCGGTGCGTAGGGGAGTTCTACAGCGGGTCGATAATGTAAAGAGATGTAGAAGTCGGCCTAAACTCACTTGGGAAGAGTCGGTTAAGAGAGACCTTAAAGATTGGAATATCTTCAAGGATTTAGCGGTGGATAAGAGCGCTTGGAGGCTAGCAATCAACGTGCCAGAACCGTGACTTTTGCTTCTCTCTCTTTTGCTCTAATCTCTTCCTTGTGTTTTGAGCCCTTTTTGTGTTTCTCTTACTATTGGTTCTCTTGAGTTTCATCTCTAGCCTACCCCAACTTGCTTGGGACTAAAAGACTATGTTGTTGTTGTTGTTGTTGTTGTTTGTCGATTGGCTATCAAGGAGTCCCAACAATCTTGATTTCGACATCCTTCATTGAAGCCTTTCGGGTAGTCTATAGAGTCTACCCACTTCGTTACACTGGAGAACTACCTAGATGTTGCATCAAGGTTCTTTCTTAGAGATGCCCTTGGGTGGCATGAAAGTAATCTGAGAATATGAATAGAAGTGAACGCCTTTCGACTAGAAGCTAACGTGCAGAGTCACCACTAGGAAGAGGGCCAGGTTCGATATATTTAGGCTACAAGACGGCGACTACTGTCTAGGCAGTCAGTACGAGGGAAAGAAGTATTAGGAGAACTCACAGATCCAGCTCAAATGCCAACGTGTACTTTATTCACGTAAATCGGGTACTATAAGAAGAGGGAGGGATTAAAAACTGTAGCTCTCCATCCGGAACCCATGTGCCTACTCACGACTGCTCACCTGCTCGAGTGATTGTTTAACAGCTGGGGATTGGCGGGCGGTGGGTATTTTATCCAATTATCGTTGTAGAGAATGACAATTATCGTTGCACGACATCTTAGATAGTTGTCATTCTCTACAAAAACAAGTACGAGATTGCAAATCCACGTCACAACTTTTGTCGGCATCAAGAACCTCAAACCTCCATTCACTTGATTGAATGATTTTGGTATTCCAAAAAGCAGTGTAGCAAGATGCAATTTTTTTGGAGCTTAGGACACAACTGACCATTAAACCGTGACACTCCTTCACGTGGATCATGCATCATGGTCTCCAGGAAATAAAGAATCTGCCTAAGTTAGAATCCTTAATGATCCTATATTTGTATGCCATATTCATCATTTTAATTTTCATCATTTGTACATACGTTTAACATGTGTGGGCATTTCCCACACTTTTTGAGTATCCTGCACACACATTAGCAGCATTTTCTTTGAGTTTATTGTGGAGTCTTTTGAGTAGTCTAATTGACAAAATTAGTACGTAACACGTGCGATGAGTTATGATCCTTTGGATCAACGCATACCCACATGGGTATGTGTGTGTGATCCGACAGCTCAAAACATAGGCTCGAATTCTCCATGTCCCAACATAGAGTAAGTCCTTTAAGTGGGGAGATTAGGGGACAAAAGAAAAAATGTAAAAGGGAAAAAGAAAACTAGAAAACTAGAAAACCATATCTATACCCACACATATTCACACATGCTTAAAAGGAATATGACAAATGATGATTGCTGCCTTAATACATCTGAGAGTCTTTTTTCTAATTTGTGTAATTCATAATAGCATGATTCAGTTCTTTATCTTTAACTTTTAACAGTGAAATAGGGGAAAATTCATTTGTGGGCTCTCAAGATTTCAGAAATAAAGTTTTATAAGAGGGCTAGTACATTTTAAATTTGAGTTTTGTAAGAAGAGATGTTGGAAGGGAAAGCTTTGATAAAGGATACAGATATGCCATTAAAGATGCAGATCCAAGCAGTGGCTTGTGCTTCTCGAGCTTTGGATCTCTATGAGGTTCTAGACTGTAAATCCATTGCTGCCCACATCAAGAAGGTTGGCATTTTGTTTTTTTAAAAGAAAGATTGATTCTTGCTTGTTCTTTTGTTCTGCTTTCATATGTTTTTCTTATGTAGCTTTATCACATCTTAAAATGAATCTGTCTTTGGGTAAATTCCAAGAACTCTCTGAGATTTAATTCTAATTGCACAAACATCTCGTAGAACTTCACTACCGGTTTACAAAGTAAAAACATCAAGGATATATTAACATTTGTAAGGGGTGCTTCTAAAAGTTAAATGGAGTTCCCAATGGAAGTATGAATAGGCGAAACCAATCCTGGCAATTATCGATCTTGCAACCCCTTACTGAGTATTGCATATATGATGTATTGTATGGTGATTTTTTTTTCCCTGCAGGATTTTGACCAAAGGTATGGGGATGGATGGCAGTGTGTGGTTGGATCCAACTTTGGGTGTTTTTTCACACACAAAATGGGGAGTTCCACATATTTTACACTTGAGACCCTCAATTGTCTCATCTTCAAAGGCGCTTCTCCTTGAGTAAATATAGTAGCTGCTAATGCTTAAGAAAGGAGTTGGAAAACCGGGAGAACAAAGAAAGTCGAGTGAAACATATCTCCTAGGATATATCTTTATTTTCCAATGTTCAAGGGTATATTTCAATTTGACATCATCTCTAAGGACTGGAGGCAGTAGAATGACGATAACATAATGTAAATTATCTTCACTCTCTTTTGCAGTTTGTCTCCCTTTTGATGAATGCCCCTCCCAATCAAGTTTAAATCTTTTTTTATGGGCAAGTCTACACAGTTCAAGCCAACTTCAAAAATTTTCAGTTATTTTACAAAATTGAGATATGCATACATGAAAAAAAGGTGCAAGCTAGCATTACCTGAACCACCAAACAAACCTCAAACAACCTGGTCGAGCAATGGCCTGTTCGAAAAATGAGCCTCCAAGTTCCGCAAAACGAGGTCCGCCATCGCCTTACGTGTCTCGACCGTGCTGCCACCAACATGAGGCGAGAGGACAACATTATCCAGCCCGAGAATTCGGGCTGGAACCTCGGGCTCGTGTTCCAGCACATCCAGGCCCGCCCCTCCCAGCCGGCCCTCGACGAGAGCCGAAACCAGCTCATCCTCGTCGATAAGCGGGCCCCTCGCGATATTTATCACAATTCCGGTTTTGCCCAGGGAGTTGATGACATCACGGCTGATGATGTGGCGGGTTTGGTGGGTCAGCGGGCAAGCTGCGATTAGGATTTGGGAGTTCAGAGCTAGGTCGAGGATGGAGGTGTAGTGTTTGTAGACGGAGTTTGGTTTTGGGGAAGGCGAGTGGTAGCCAATCGAGCAGCTGAAGGCTTTCAGGCGTTTGGCGATGGCTGACCCGATCCGACCCAACCCGAAATGCCGATTGATTTGCCGCTCAACTGAATAATGGAAATCATTTGTGAAAATTGAAATTCGGAATTGGAGAAGAAATTAGGGTTCTGTTTTTGGGGCAAACGGGGGATGGTGAGAATTTGATTACCTTCGTGGTCAGCTCGTAATTGCCGTTCGTCCAATTGCCGCTCCTCACGAATCGATCCGTGGCGCAGATCCGCCGCGCCGTCGCCAGAGTGAGAAGGACGGCCATATCAGCCACCTCATCGGTGGGGCCGTGCGGCGTGTAGGTCACCCTAATCCCCCTCTCCCTGCATTTTTCCAGATTGATCTTGTCGAGGCCGGAGCTGTGGCTGGCGACGATCTCCAGGCGCGGCAGGGCGTCGATCATCTCGCTGTCGGCGCCCTGAACGCCGTTCCCGACCACCGCCCGGATGGAATCCGAGTGTTCCCGGAGAAACTCGCGGCGGAGATGCGGCGGAGCTTGCCAGTACCTGAAGAGTGTGTACCGTTTGGAGAGCTCATCTTGGATGTAGTTTGACAGCGGGCGGATGAGGAGGACGCCGATTTTTTATGAAATTTTAATTATAAAGTGAAAAATACAATTAAGTATTGAAAAAATATTTATATTTTCAATTTTTTTATAATTCATTGAAGATCGATTTGCTGATTGCAAACTAACTTATTGTACCGTGTTACTATTTTTCGAAATTACAATTGTGTCTCATGATTATTTATAAAACGAATTGAAGAAAGAAGTTTTTTTTTATTAATTTGTTGGTGAATATTTATCTCTTTATACTTCTTTAATTTCACTAATTCTTTAATTTGTAATATATTTTTATTCTAATAAAATTTATTAAAAATATTGTATTATCTCAATGGCAATGTGGATTGTGATGGGTCAATGAAAAAAATAATTACAAAATTTTATAATATTAAAAATAAATATTGAATGATTTGTTTAGGGCCTCGGAATTTCTAGAGACGCTCTTGATCCCATTCAATGTGAGTGTTATATACTTATGTGCAATGTTATGCAGCTATAGCATTCATTGTTGGTTACCAAAAATGAAGCATAGCAAAATTACCTAAAAATCAAACGGATTTGTTACTCTAAAATATGTCTTCAATCACATTTCTGTACCATTAACTAGTGGAACTTAATTACTACACTTCAAAAATACTTGGGCCTATTAAACACTCGTTTCTGTACTCATCTACACACACAAACCAAATGTAGATTTTGCTTTATTGAAAATAGTCATCATCAACATTCCTAGTCCCAATACACGGCCACATCTCACAGGCCACAAATACCCCCAACCAATTAAACGTTAGCAATTTCCAAATTATCCAATAACAGCCACAAACAACAATCAAACCACCGGAGTCAAAAGCGGCTTCCCGGCAAAATGAGCCTCCAAGTTCCCAAGCACGAGATCCGCCATGGCTGTGCGAGTCTCCACCGTGCCGCTCCCCACATGCGGCAGCAGGACCACATTGTCGAGCCCAAAGAGCCGCTCGGGCACATCGGGCTCCCTTTCGAACACGTCGAGCCCGGCCCCACCTAAGCGGCCCTCCTCGAGTGCCGCCACCAGCTGGGGCTCGTCCACGTGGGGCCCGCGCCCGATGTTAATAAGGACCCCGTTAGGGCCAAGTGCGTCAATGACCTCACGGTTCACGATGTGAGTCGTCTCTGGGGTTAAAGCGCAGGCCACGACCAGGATGTCGCAGTTGGAGGCTAGCTCGACAACGGTTTTGTAGTATTTGTAGTTTGTGTTTGGTTTCTCGGATCTCGAGTAGTAGCTAATGGGGCAGTCGAACCCTTGGGCCCGTTGAGCGATTGCCTGCCCGATCCGGCCCAAACCTATTATGCCCACTCTTTTCCCGCTGAACTGCAAGATGCAATGTATATGAGTTAGGGAAGCCGGACCATACATAAGTACAAAGAAAAAAGTGGATTTTAAAGAACTACACATGAAATTTAGCCCCACTCGGAAAAGGAATACGGATAATCTCAAAATTAGCATAACATCCATAGCTTTACTCAACCTTCATAAGCGGAAATATTTTGCATTTAATACAGAATCACACTCAGGAGTAACTTAGGTAATTTCAAACTTATTGCTGTTCTTTTGCAGGTATTTCTCCCAAAAGAACATCACAAAATTTTTCATACAATATTGCAATTACAATGATCTTCAAAAATCCATAACATTTTTTTTTCTCCTTTGAAAAGCTTCAAAGTCCATAACTTTATTGTTGCTGCCTTTACAATACAAAACAGAAACGAGATAGTAACCATAAAAAATGCAAGATTTTTGCACAAGTGAAGTGTCTTCTTATTTATGATCGAAACATT